GGACTAGCTATCGGGGACAATTGATGTTTTGTAAAATCCAGTTAAATCACTGCTCTAAATGGCAACCTTGTTGAAGCTCAGTTTGTGGCAGGCCATTGTGTGGATGGCACAGGGAAAGTGGAGGAAAAAAAAATGAGAACGCCCTTGATGTGCTCTTGGAAGCCTACAGAACCTGATGGTAAGCAAGGAGAAAGGATCATGTGCCTATCTCACTCTCTAAAAGCATGTGGGCCAAGCCAGCCACATGTGGGGGAGCAGGTTGTACCCTCCTAAATGAGGACAACCCCTTCCCCCAAAGCTCGCTATGGGACAGGATGGACCTCACTGCTCCCTATTTAGGCCATTTGGCTCTTGATGTGTAATTCTTTTTGAGACTCCTGTATAGGAAATATGCTTTTTAAGCACTGTCACAGATTCAACTATTTCTCCTTCATCAATCACATTTTGCCTACTTAAGTGTGCAATTTTTTTATTTAAGTGAGTCACGTTATTCCCCTGTCTGACAGTGGTGACAGTGGCTCAAGGGAGAAATACTTCAAAAGCAGAGATTTGTAAAGAGGTATTAGGTCTTCAATTGTTACTTTGTATTCAGCTTCATAGAACACTTAGGTCAGACCAAGCATATTCACCCTCTGGAAGTAGGCATCTTTGTTCTTGCCCAGCATTGGATTACTTTGGAGTACTGTATATACTCAGGTTGTGCACATTCTTGTCATGGTATCACTTAGCAGGGAGACTGAGTATTTAAGTAGCTTTTAATCTTCAGCTCTTTAAGGAGTGGTGAAGCCGTAATTGGCTTCATGCTGTATGTCAAAATACATTTAATCAGAACTGTAATTTTGGTATTGTTTCATGCTACAGAGTGGTAACTCTTTCAGTGTCCACATCTCCACTGCATAGTGTCCTGACCCAAAGCCCAATGAAATCAATGGGAGTCTTGCCAATGTCTTCAGTAGGCTTTGTACCAAGTTCTAACTTATGGGTATTTGATTCTTATTATCTTTTTTTTTCTGAAGACTGTGAGAAAGGGAGAGACTTCAATAAGATCCCCCTCAACAGAGACGTTTACACAGTTTACTGGTATATTAAAAACAAAATTAAATATTACCCATTAATAACAATGCATCCCAGCTGTTTTCCTCCTTGGCTTCCTTCATCATTTTGCTATCCCTCTCACTTTACATTCACTGTAGTGTTGTTTTTTTTTTCCCCAAAATTATTTTAAAAGCTTTTCTGGCTTACTTTGCCCAAACCAAAGGATTATTAGATGTTAAATATACCAGAGGCTAGTATATTTTGTTTGTTACCCCAAAAGCTCTGTGTTGGACACCCTGCCCTCCTAGCTTTGTCGAAAACAAAACAAATCAAATTATTTTTTTTTCCTGAATATGTGGAAACTTAAAAGAAGATAATAACTAAATGAATAAATAAAATAAAAGCTTTGAAGCAAATCAGCATATCTGATTCTGAGTTAAGATACTAAAAAAATAAGTTTCTGGCCTTAGTTAAAAGAATGTAACTCTTTTTGGGAAGCTAATGCTTGGATTTATCACTTCTGATTTCTCTGCTCTGAATTCTTCCTGTAGTAGGGTAATTTCAAACAAAACTGCTTTTAAATAAAGAAGTTATTAATGACTTTGCTCTCTGATTTTACATGAGCACCTGTGTGGTGAAGTATTTAAATGGCAATGATTTAGGCCCCAATCTAAATAAACACTTAAGCACCTGTAAACTTAAGCTTGTGAGTAGTGCCATTGAAGACTTCAGTGCTTGGAAGTCTTTGCATGAGATACTGTATCCAGCCTTTACCCTGATCAAAGGAACTCCGTCTACTATGACTTCAGTGGGACTACTCCCATACTTAAAGATATGCACATGCTTAAGTGCTTTTGCTGGGGCCTTAGCTCTCAAATGACACTGCTAATATATATTTTTATTGAAGAAACACAACATTCCTAACCATTTCATTGCAAAACTGCCTTTCCAAAATGTAAACTGACTGCTAATGGTAAGTTTCTCAATGACTTTTCTGTACATCATGGGTCATCTGTAGCCCCCCACAACATCCCAGAGCTACCCAGTCCAACTACCAGAGCTCCTATCTTGAGTTCTTGCTCTTGACTGCCAGCACATCCACAACCTTCACTCAACTGGACACTCCACTCTGTCTTTAAAAGGCCCTGCAGTGTTGAAAGAAACCGTCAGAAACACCACTTTCCAACCTTTTGAGCCACTGCTTCTATTACCCCTCCCCTCTGGTTAAATGGATTTGTAGCACTCATAAGGGAATATCAGGGTTAGATTTACCTCTGCTCTGTTCCTTTAAGGATTGACAGTCTGCTGAGGAGGTCAAAGGCGACAGCTCTGGTTGCAGTGGGTGCCCTGTGAAAGGATTGAGCAGCAAAGGGGCTTGTGCAAATTGTTTGTGTTTGCTTTTTGTTTGATGCTGTCTCTGATCTGGGAATATAATAGAGGCAGTTTCCATGAACAGGAAGAGGGTTGGGTATTCACATATTAGACTCTTGAACACTGAGCAGAAGGGGTGGAATCCAGATGCTACTTAGTGCCTAAACCCAGATTTAGGCAAATAAGTTCTGTTTTTTGGGTGCCTAAGTCCCTCATTATGGTCCTCTTGAAGCTGTTCCACAGTGGATAAATGAAGAGTGATTGGAACAGAGGGACTTGACCCAGGGTTTCCTGCCCCCCAGGTAGATGCCCTACCCCAGGGGTGGCCAACCTGTGGCTCTGGAGCCACATGCAGCTCTTTCTCCTTCCCCAAAGGTCCCTGCCCCTTCCCCTGAGTCTGCCATGCCATTGCTCCTCCTCCTCCCCCTCCCCGAGCCTCCTGTATACCACAAAACTGCTGATCGCAGCAGGCGGGAGGCGCAGGGATGGCGGGTTAGGTGCTGATCAGCGGTGCTGGGGGGGGAAGCTGACGGGGGGCTGTTGATATGTTACTGTAGCTCTTTGGCAATGCACATTGGTAAATTCTGGCTCCTTCTCAAGCTCAGGTTGGCCACCCCTGCCCTAACCACTGGGCTACAGAGTCATTTTATTTGTGTGTGTGTGTCTCGCCCAGTGACTGTTTAAGTATTATTGTACAGTCAAGCAGATTCAAAAGGACAGACTGAGGGAAGCCCCATGAGAATATCCTGGAGTCTCAGACACCAGAGCCTTCTGCTGAGAGGTGGGAGACCCATGTTCAAATCTTTTCTCCCCTCTGCCAGGCAAGGGGGAATTGAACCTGGGGTTCCCACTTCCCAGGTGAGTGCTCTAACCACTGGGCTAAAAGTTATTAGGTCATCACCACTGACATGATGGCCCTGATGTAAATCCCGCTGGAATACTGTTCCAGGTCTGGTGTTTACAATTCGAAAAGGACGTTGATAAATTGGACAGGGTTCAAAGGAAAACCACAGGAAGATAAAAAGGGTTAGAAAATTTGCCGTATACTGTTAAACTCAAGGAACTCAGTCTGTTTATTTTACCAAATAAATAAGCTTTTGTTTACCCATCTCTAAAATGGATATAATACTTTCCTACCTCAGAGGGATGTTGTAAAGCTTCATTGTTCATTAACATTTGGAGAGCCTCAGGTGAATGGAGTGCCAATATTATATGAAGGGACATATAGACTTACACAGTTGTATTTGGATGATAAATGTATTGGGAGTTTTCATCTTTGATTCAAAATATTTACCATTATACAGTGGTTTTATATTTAGAGTTAATGGGAAATCTTCATGTCATGAGAAATGAAAATGCAGAGGATACATATCATACATAAAGGAATTTGCAGTTAATCATTGTAGGACTTTTGGGCAATTGATGGATAAATATGGATGGATAAAAGAGAAGGTTAAGGTGTAATTGGATTAACCTTATAGGTTCCTACCTGGGAAACAAATATTTGATAAGGGGCTCTTCATTCTGGTAGAGAAAGGTATAGTATGATCCAATGGTGGAAAGTTGAAGCTAGCCAAATTCAGACTGGAAATAAGGCATACTTTTTTACCAGTGAGAATAACCATTGGAACAATTTACCAAGAGTCATGTGGATTCTCTGTCACTGACATCTTGTAAATCAAGATTGAACGTTTTTCTAAATGATATGCTGTAGGAATTATTTTGGGGGAAATTCTATGGCGTGTGTTATACAAGAGGTTAGCGTTGATGACCACAGTGGTCCCTTCTGGCCTTGGAATCTATGACTCTATGAAAAACCCCTACTGTCTGTGGCTCTGGCTGTTTCACATGGAGTGAGTCAGGCACCTAACTGGTTCCTACAAGAAATGATATAGGCACCTAAGCTAGGAGAGGGGTTCCCATTCGTGGATAGCTATTAGAGGTAGGCACCTCCCTGCAGCCTGGATTTAGGTGCTTATCTCTGAGAAAGGGGTGGGCCTTAGCACATCAGCATCTCCCATTGGCTGGTTTAGGTAAGGAGCCGTCTACCATGCTCTCTTTTGTGAATCATATTCTAAGGCACCTGTCTCTTCCCATTCATCGTATAGGGAGCCTAGGTTTGTGGATCAGTGTTGTTCCTATGATTTTCTAGGTACTTTAGGTGCCCTAACACTTTAGTTTGTGATGCCTAAGGGCCTTCATGTATTCAATTGAAGAGGTCTCCAAAGAAAGGGCCAGATTATAAACTGTTTAGTTACAGTGGTGAGCAATTATTGAAGACAGTGGTGCAACTTGAACACGAGTAACAGATCAAGAGAGTGAGCAAAGGGCTCTCAATCTGAGTCTAATTACGGGTTAAAGAGAGTGATAGTTTATTGGAAACTTTTAGCTGAGTTTCCAAATTTTCAGTGTGTTTAAGTTTTGTAACTATACTTTTTTTTGTCTTTAAGTAGAAGATACATTTCAATTAAGGTTGCTAAATTAACTAAGAATTTGTTTGCAAGTTATAGATCGTACTTGTATTGCAGCTGATTAATGTAATGGCTTATCCATTGGCATATATCCATATATATTTTTGTTTTGTTTTATTTTAGGTTATGCAACACAGATCTTTGAAGCTACCTTTATGTAGATGAAACTTTCAGAAGCAGCACTCCATTTTGGAACCTACCTTTTTTGAGAGCATATGGGACTTTCCAAGGCACCTTCTGTCTGGGCTACATATATTGCTTACTCCTAAATACATCAGAGGACAATGAGGTCTTTTTATTTTTTGTGTACTTTCACACTATATAGTGAAGTTTCTTCCATCTCATTTTGTTCAATGGGAAAAACTTGAGCAAGACTTGTGGTTGCTTTTTATTTTACTAGATTTCCCTTAAGGAGCCAAATCTTTATGAAACATGTCCACAGTACCTTTATTTGTATTTTTTTCATTTGTGACTGAGGCAGTGTATTAATTTCAGCATATTTTAGGTGTTTTGGTTTGAACCTGGCTTTTTGAATTACTACATCATAATAATGCAAGGAATTAAATTATTTCAAGTTTTCAGAAAATAATTTGTATGCATCAGAAATATTTTCTGGCTATTCATAGCTCATTAATAAGCAGTTTAACGGTACTAATATGAGGCATTGCATTAATTGTTGCATACAGTTATTACCAAATGACTTGCACAAACACTGTTTCAGATGCCGTGGGTCTAATCATAATAACCAGAAGTGTCCTGTGTGCAAACAAGAAAATATAATTCCTTTGTATGTGGATAGTAAGCAGATGAACTTGCTTGCAGTTTTGGAAGTAAGGACTGATCATAATGAAAGCTGGAATGGATTTTTTTGCTTGAGGAAAGGGAAGCTATGCAGCTTGATATTTGGGTTGATAATAATGACTTTAGTGATGGCATCATACATACTGACTGGAGCCAAACATGGCCTATTGCTAATACCTTCGCCATTCCATTATGGAGCTTTTACTGGCAATCCAAACTTAATGGACAATGAAAGCCTTAGTGAAATGAAAGACCATTACCAGCCTTCTAAAATTAATATTTCATATGTAAAGGATTATCCAAGCATTAAATTAATTATTGACACTATTACTTCAAAGATTGAGTTTATAAACAGACAACATCCAGATTTAGAAGACCTGAAGAAACAAGAACTGCATGTAAGTATAAACTAAACTCCCCCTGAAACTGATGTATGTTTTTTTTGTTTGTTTGTTTCAAGTATTCTGGGCTGGATCCTCAGATGAGGTAAAACAGTATAGCTCAATTGAAGTCGATATGCCAGTTTATGCCAGCTGAGGATCTGGAACACCAACTGCTGCAGACTTGTCTCTACAGATAGATAAATAGATACATCTGTATATTTATAATATGCAACTGTCAAATCACTGGACCATGGTATATGCATAAGTGGTCTAATCAAGTGCCTGATGAATCCGCTTATGGCTGACAAGCCCAAAACGAGAGCAACACAGCTTGTTACAAATTTCACAGTTTCATGTGTTGTCTGAGTTGTAGTCCAAGATTACAGCACGCTGCTTTCTTCTTTCTTGCTTTGCTTCCATCCTCTAGATCAAAGCTGCTTCATGTTGAGCTGTATCCAGTGCCAGACATTCTGCACTGGGATTCTGTGCGCTCCTCCCAGCTTTCTACATTGATGCTGAACAACTTCATGTCATTTTTGCACACATCGTTGTAACACATAAAGGGTGACCCCACTTTCTAGAGCTGGCTCGAATCTCAGCGTACAAAATATTCTTGAGGATACAGTCTTCTCCCATTCTCCTGACATGACCAAGCATTTGCAACCTCTTCTTCTGGATAGTGGTTTCTAAGTGTGTCAGTCTGCATGCTCCAGCACCTCTGTGTTTGGTATTTTGTCCTCACACTTTATTTTTGGGACCTTGTGCAGGCATCTCATGTGGAAACTATTCAATTTCCCTATGTGCCTAGCATGTGTAGTCCACGTTACTGAACCATAAAGCAGGGATGACCGCACACAAGTCTAGTAAATTTGCATCTTCACCTTAGTCAATAATTTGCTGTTATTCCATGCACATTTCTCTCTCTGTGTGTGTGTGTGTGTGTATGCATGTATGTATGTATGTATGTATTATTTGTATTTGAGCCACAGGCAAAAGAGATGGATTATATAAATGATCTGAACATCTGAGACAAGAAGTCTGACAATCTTGCAAGAGTAGTATAATTACATTGAACTTATTCCTTGTCGTTTTATTCAAAATAATTCAGAGGAGTTAGTCAGATGTGCCAAAACATTTAACTGATAAAATAAAAAACAGCCTCCCTTAATAACTGAATGCTAGTGTACCTTCCCAGAAATCTAGTAATTGGTATTCCAATCACTCATGCAAATCTTGTATTTCAGAATTAAAAACTGGAAGTTAATTTGATCTGAGTATTTTATCTTTGGCTAAATCAGTGTTCCTAATGATTATTCTTTGCAAGCTTATTTTAAGGATTCCATAAATTAAGTAGCACTGCAGAGTCCAGCAGGCTCCACAGAGTTTAGCTGAGCTCGCAGCATAAAGATAAGGCCTGATCCTGAGAAGGCCGAGCATCTCAGCTCCCATTGGAGTCAATGGGCTAAATTGGGAAGTCTTTCAGTAAAATCAGAAATGGGATTTATCCCTGAGTGAAGGCTGAGTAAAACTTGAGTTAGGATTTCAGGATTTGGCTGAATGGAGGCTGGAAGCACTCAATTTGTCATCAAAGTACAGCACTTAAGAAAGAATCATACAGTGCCTCTGGTTAGACCTGATAGAGCTAACAGCAGAAGACGGTTTTTTACTACATTGATTTTGTCCTCAATCTTTCCTTCATTAACGCCCCCAGCGACCCTCCCCCCCCCAAAAAAACAAAACAAAACAAAAACAAAACTTCTGGTATTAAGTGATACAATACAATGGAAAATCTGTTCAGTTTTATTCTCAAATATTTCTGGACTCAGTTGTTTCTTTAGGACCTAAGCCAATCCCCACTGATGTCACTGGGAGCCTTTCCATTGTCTTCGACAGGAATTGGGCTGGACTCTAAAAGTGCCAGCAGCCATTGGGGTGGTTCGGGGATGCATATTCTCCGGGGGAGCTGTGAGAGGCATTGTATGACTCTTGATTAAGTGCAGTACTTTGACCGTAAATTACTGGGATTTATCACATTCACTTATGGATTCAGGAGGAAGTATTCCTCCACTGTAGGAATTACTGAGTGAAATTCTATGGCTTATGTTATGCAGGAAGTCAAACTAGATGATCATAGTTGTCTCTTCTGGCCTTAAAACCAGTGAGTGTATGAATATTCTCCTTTCTCCATCTAGCTCTGCACCCTCTCTCCACCTCATGCAGCTGTGCAGGATCTGGCTCCAGTTCGGTCAGCAGGAGAGGTTTATCTCTACTGTGCAATTGCCAAAATAAATAAATAAATAATAGAAAGATTATGATGATAGTGGTTGCATTGTGTTCACTAATTATGTTAAATAAGAAAGTGTGATTATAAACTTTGCTGCTGCCTTGACTGAAATTACTGTTCTTTATGTTGCAGATGTTTTCAGTAATTCCTAATAAATTCCTTCCAAATAGCAAGAATCCTTGTTGGTATGAAGAATATAGAGGCAATACTACCACAGATCCTTACACAACAAACTCATATGCACTGTATTCAAAGCGTTTTCGGACCATATTTGATTACCTCAGAAAAGTATTTTGGAACCACTTGTATCATTATAAGGATAAGCACTATCGGCTGCGCTGTCTTCCTCATTTCTACATAATAGGCCAGCCAAAATGTGGAACAACTGATCTTTATGACAGGCTCAGGTTACACCCAGACGTTAGATTCTCAGCAATTAAAGAACCACACTGGTGGACAAGAAAGCGATTTGGTGAGTAAACATGTATTCTAACATTTCAAAAGAAGTGCAGCTACTGAAATGGAAGCATAGCTCTTCAAAGAGTAGTCCCTTCTTCAAATTATGAGTAAGTCCCCCATTAACTTTTGATAAAATGATAGAGGAGTATATCCGAGGAGGAGGGGAGAAATACCAAAGAACTGGAAAAGGGCAAATATAGTACGCATCTAAAAAAGGGGAAATAAGGACAATCCAGGAAATTATAGACTAGTCAGCTTAATTTCAGTACCCAGAAAGATCATCGAGCAAATAAAACAATCAGTTTGCAAGCACCTAGAAGAAAATAAGGTAATAAGCAACAGTTAATATGAATTTGTCAAGAACAAATTATGTAAAACCAACCTAATATCCTTCTTTGACAGGGTAACAAGACTTGTGGATGCGGGGGGAAGCGGTAGATGTGTTATATCTTGACTTTAGTAAGGCTTTTGGTACTGTCTCACATAACCTTCTCATAAACAAACTAGAGAAGTATAGCCAAGATGAACCTACTATAAGGTGCGTGCACAACTGACTGGAAAACCATATTCAGAGAATAGTTATCAATTGTTCACAATCAAGCTGGAAGGCCATATTGAGTGGGATCTCAGAGATCTGTCCTGGGTCTGGTTCTATTCATTTTCTTCACCAATGATTTGGATAATGGCATAGAGAGTACACTCATAACATTTGTAATTGATATTAAGCTAGAAGGGGTTGTAAGTGCTTTAGAGGACAGGATTAGTATGCAATATGGTTTTGACAAACTGGAGACATGGTCTGAATTTAATGATGAAATTCAATAAGGACAAATGCGAACTACTCCACTTAGGAAGGAATATCAACTGCACAAATACCAAATGGGAAATGACTGCCTAGGAAGAAGGACTGCAGAAATGGGTCTGGGGGTTATAATGGATCACGAACTAAATATGAATCAACAATGTTAAACTGTTGCAAAAAAAAGCGAACATCATTCAGGGATGTATTAGCAGGAGTGTTGCATGCAAGACATGAGGAGTAATTCTCCCCCCTATACTCAGCACTGACAAGACATCAGCTGGTGTATTGTGTCCAGTTTTGAGCACCACACTTCAGGAAAGATGTAGCTAAATTGAAGAAAACCTAGAAGAGAGCAACAAAAATGATTAAAAGCCTAGAAAACACAGTGGATCTAATTTACCTAGATTTCAGTAAGGCGTTTGATACTGTTCCACATGGGGAATTATTAGTTAAATTGGAAAAGATGGGGATCAATATGAAAATTGAAAGGTGGATAAGGAATTGGTTAACAGGGAGACTACAGCGGGTCCTACTGTCAGGCTGGAGGGAGGTTACCGGTGGAGTTCCTCAGGGATCGGTTTTGGGACCAATCTTATTTAATCTTTTTATTACTGACCTCAGCACAAAAAGTGGGAGTGTGCTAATAAAGTTTGTGGATGATATAAAGCTGGGAGGTATTGCCAATTTAGAGAGAGACCGGGATATCATATAGGAAGATTTGGATGACCTTGTAAACTGGAGTAATAGTAATAGGATGAAATTTAATAGTGAGAAGTGTACGGTCATGCATTTAGGGATTAATAACAAGAATTTTAGTTATAAGCTGGGGACGCATCAATTAGAAGTAACGGAGGAGGAGAAGGACCTTGGAGTATTGGTTGACCAGAGGATGACTATGAGCTGCCAATGTGATATGGCCGTGAGAAAAGCTAATGCGGTCTTGGGATGCATCAGGCGAGGTATTTCCAGTAGAAATAAGGAGGTTTTAGTCCCGTTATACAAGGCACTGGTGAGACCTCACCTGGAATACTGTGTGCAGTTCTGGTCTCCCATATTTAAGAAGGATGAATTCAAATTGGAACAGATACAGAGAGGGGCTACGAGGATGATCTGAGGAATGGAAAACCTGTCTTATGAAAGGAGACTCAAGGAGCTTGGCTTGTTTAGCCTAACTAAAAGAAGGTTGAAGGGAGATATGATTGCTCTCTATAAATATATCAGAGGGATAAATACTGGAGAGGGAGAGGAATTATTTAAGCTCAGTACCAATGAGGAAACAAGAACAAATGGATATAAACTGTCCATTGGAAAGTTTAGACTTGAAATTAGACGAAGGTTTCTAACCATCAGAGGAGTAAAGTTCTGGAACAGCCTTCCAAGGGAAGCAGTGGGGGCAAAAGACCTATCTGGCTTCAAGTTTAAACTCAATAAGTTTATGGAGGAGATGGTATGATGGGATAACATGATTTTGGCAATTAATTGATCTTTAAATATTAATGGTAAATAGGCCCAATGGCCTGTGATGGGATTTTATATGGGGTGGGATCTGAGTTACTACAGAAAATTCTTTCCTGGGTATTTGGCTGGTGAATCTTGCCCATATGCTCAGGGTTTAGCTGATTGCCATATTTGGGTTTGGGAAGGAATTTTCCTCCAGGGGAGATTGGAAGAGGCCCTGGAGGTTTTTCGCCTTCCTCTGTAGCATGGGGCACGGGTCACTTGCTGGAGGATTCTTTGCTCCTTGAAGTCTTTAAACCATGATTTGCGGACTTCAATAGCTCAGACATAGGTGAGAGGTTTTTTGCAGGAGTGGGTGGGTGAGATTCTGTGGCCTGCGTTGTGCAGGAGGTCGGACTAGATGATCATAATGGTCCCTTCTGACCTTAATATCTATGAAAAAAAGTGACCTACGAGGGAGAAACTGAGTTTGTTTAGTCTATGGAAGAGAAGACTGAGGGGGGACATAAGTCTTCAAGTATGTAAAAATTGTTATAAAGAGGAGGGTGATAAATTGTTCTTTATAACCACTGAGGACAGGACAAGAAGCGATGGGCTTAAATTGCAGCAACGGAGATTTAGGTTAGACATTAGGAAAAACTTCCTAAATGTAAGGGTAGTTCAGCACAGGAATAAATTACTTAGGAAGGCTGGGGAGTCTCTATCGTTGGAGGTTTTTAAGAAAAGGGTTAGACAAACACCTGTCAGGGTAGTACTTTGTCCTGCTTCAATGCAGGGGACAGGACCAAATGACATGTCAAGGTCCTTTCAAGTTGTACATTTTTATGATTGTATTCCTTAGTTTGGTTTAAAAGCATATACTTTTTGCATTAGCATATGCTAACGTGTTTTATCTTTTTATTTTGCTGGGATTTTATATCCTGCACAGGGAAATTGTTACGTGCCCTTTTTAGATTTTATTTGTTTTCTTCTTTAAACTCCCTTGAAAAGTAGCCCTTAGTGAAAACACAACAGTGTTTCATTTCTGGAACAGCAGCTCGGTAGAAAGTTGGCTCAGACTTAGGCCATGCCTACGCTACAAAATTAAGTTGACTTAACATATGTTGGCATACAGTCACCACAGTAATCACATTGCTTGTGCATGTCTGCAGTTTGCTCCTGATGTCAGCGGTGCACATCCTCACCGGGAGCACTTGTATCAATTGTACTGTCAGTGTCGGGCATTGTGGGATAGCTCCTGAAAGCTAGTAACAATCAACATAAGCAATGCAGTGTCTACGCTGACACTGCGTTGCCCTAACTATATTGACCTTGACTGTACACCGCTCATGGAGGTGGAGTTAAGTCAGCATAGCAGGGCAGTTACGTCAGCAGGAGTGAAATTAAGTGTAGACACTTCCATAGTTAGGTCAATGCAAGACAGCTTACATTGACCTAACTCTGTAGGGTAGACTAGACTTTAGAAAAGCCCAACTTTCCTGATTCACTTCTAATAACATCTGTCATATTTTGTGTAATGTTCATATATGTACCACAAATGGTTTATTTATATAAATATCCTTGAGTGAAGACTGAGTACAACCGAGTTAGGATTTCAGTATTTGGCTGAATGGAGATTGGAGGCACTCTGCATTTCTCTGGCTAGACATATAGATCTTGACCCCGCACACATGGAAAAGGAGGTATCTATATCTGTTTACACACACATTTTATATTTGTGTGTGTTCACACACATACACACGGGGAAACAAAATGAATGAAGGAAAGGATAGATAGATATCTCCTTTTCAACATTAGTTTTTCCTTGTCTGTTACCATAAATAATGTATTTAATTTATTATTATATTTAGATTTCTAAAATGTGCCCACCAGATATTTTGAGTGCACAGTCATAATTTAGGAATCACACAGTATAGCACAAGTACAATCAAATAGATTTCCCCCCACCAAATTAGACATAATAGGAAAGAAACAATTCCTTCTACTTTAGGAATCACTGGGTGAAATTCTATGGGCTGTACAAAGCAGAAAGTCAGAGTAGATGATCATAATGCATTCTCGCCTAGTCTTAAAAATCTATTAAAATCAAATTCATTCTTCACAGTCAGCCCTTCTGGCAAAAGCCTGGAAATAAGTGATAAGCCATATATCATGACCTGATGGTTAATAGGCTCAAGTTCTATCAGATCAATGGAGGGAGTGAATTTCAGATCCTAGAACCTTCCACAGAGAATACCCCGCTTCTAATCTCCAGATGTTTAAACGTAGAGCTTGTCAGCCAAAGCATCTCGGCTGATTGTGTCTGCCATGATGGTGCATATGGGAGAGATGGCCAAATTCAGAGGTAAAGTGTAACATTAGATTTCCTTACATTAACAAACTCCCTAGCACTTAGACTCCCAAAGATCTAAATTGGCGTAATTTGCAATTGAAGAGCCAGGATGGGTAAATCAAAGTAAGGCAAGGGCAGCTTCTTAGAGCTGGGCCTTACTAATCTCTAGAATAAGAAGCAGGAATGCAGAGACTGGGGGGAACACACAAGAGGGAATGGGGAAATGGGAAGAGGATCAGCAACAAGTGGAGAGAGCAGGCACAAAAAAGGGAAAAGGAGCAGAGTATACCTAAGAGGGGCCGGTGATGTGATGCTGGAGATGAAGAATTGAGGGCTGGTGATACTGCAAGGTGAATATAGAGGAAAAAGTAGCATAGGGATTGGAGTGTTTTGCTATTGGCTTTCATAGGAATTGGATCCACCCCAAAAGAATAAAATAGGAATTATACCTTGAAATAATCTTGTTACCAGTTCAATTTACTATTATTGTTAATTAGATTGGTAGGTGAAAAGAATTAATAAACAAAACATCTCCTCCAGATTTTTTAATTCCCCTTCCCATCTTGTTTGAAAGTGTCTGTGAAATCCATTCACCCTTAGGCAAAATTGTTGTCGAAGCCAAGAATTGCAGAAAGGTGCTGTTTGCTTCAAATTTGGAAGACAGTCCATGTTGTTAATCTGCTGATTTTCTGATTTGTTAAATGTGGGTGTAATTGACAGATTCAGGGCCAGATTTTTCTCTTAGGCACATCAGTGTAAATCCGAAGTCAAGTGACTCCAGTTACCCTGGTGTAAATGAGCAGAATCTGGCCCTCTATGTTCATTTCAAAACCTAACCTTAGAAGAAAGTTCAAGCTATTAATTCAGGGTCTATAAAACATAGCACTTCAAAATATTTCCTCTCAGAATGAATTTATATCTTAGTATTGTAGTATCTTGAATCACAACTACTTCATAATTGGCTTTTTATCTTAATGTTATGCTCCTTGGCTTAATTCTCTGCTGGTGTGAAATGCTGTAGATTTATTGATATCAATGGAGTTTTGCTGATTTACTCCAACTGTGGATCTGGCTTTTGAGTTTCATTTTCTAGCTTCTTTTTTTACTCATTAGGGTTTTGTTTTTAGGAATAATTCGTCTGAGGGATGGATTTCATGATCGCTACCCAGTGGAAGATTACCTTGATCTGTTTGACTTGGCTGCACACCAGATTCAGGGTGTGTTACAGAGTGATGTAACAAAAGGGCACAGCAAGATGAACCACATCATCATTGGTACTGCAAATACTACTTATGAAAATATGTCAATGGTACTATATTAGTTGTAACATTTATAGTGATGGTAAAATCAGCTTAATCAAAGTGTCTTGTGTCCGGGGTAAGTTAATCATAGCAGAGGGTCATTCATGTCAGTTAAGGCCCCCATCCACAGATAGGTGCATTATTTGTTTTCCTCTGGAGGCAGGTTGCTTTCATTTACCTAAATGGATGTGCTGTGCCTGGCAAGACTGCAGTATTGGGTCCTGTGAAGTTCTGCCATCAGGGACATCTGCAGATAGTCCTGCTTTTTATATTACAGTCTACAATACTTTCACAGTATTGAACACTTAGATAAACTCAGTTCACTTATTTAAATTAGCAGCGTACATTTTTAAGTACTTTTACCTCTTGTTACAACTTTTTCTAAAGTTCATGTTTTTTCTGTATTCTCAGTTTCCCTTATCGCTAAGGTTACTTTGGCCCTTATTAAGTTTGCAGGAAAAGTTCTGAATTATTATGCTCATTAAATCAGTTTTTTATGACCTCAGTAAAAAACAGTCTAGTCTAGAGACAGTCTACATGATGCATGAAAATCAGGTTTCCTTAGAATGCTGCATTGTTAAACTTCAGATTATTAAAAAGGGAAATTTAATTAAAACTATAAACATTCCTTTAACTTTGTCATGTAACAGTATTTTCAAATTCTAACCATCTTTGAGTCATACCTTTATTGGGTAATATATTTTCTCAAATAAAACAGTAGATCTTTAGAAGACCTATAAAGTACACTGCTATTCTAGCTTCAGGCATTCTAAGCAGGACTTTTTTATTTACAATCATTAATCTGATAAATTCACAAGAATGTTTTATGAAAACATGACATGATTTTATTCCATTAATCTCAAGATAAGGACAGTGTAAATTTATTCTTTAATGAAAGTAGGCAGTTTAATCATACAATATGTGCTTTAAGTCCATAGGAAAAATTAGTATATATTTGATTGTGCTATGATAATTTGATATATAAATGCAGTGGATAGAACAGTGATTAATTCAACATGTGTTGAATAGGGTACTCTCTTTACAGATATTAGATCTGTATTCGGTGTAAAGAGACACTGTCAAATGAGTAGGAATTAATTTCTTTTTCCTTTTAGCTCCTCACAGTCATCCTGTTTTGGTTCCGAACACAAGCTATACTGAATTAACAGCACAAAAAACAGCATCTTTAGCTTAAAGTTCACTCCCCTGAATGAGTAAACTGAGAGGAAGTATACAAAAGTAAACATGTGGGCCAAATCCACATGCAAAGTAAGGACTAGACTCCACTATTCTTATTCTTGTAGGTAAGGACAGCAGATTCTGGTCCTATGTGGGTTGTTGTGCAGAAGAGTTCCAAATGAGTGAAGGCGAAAAGGAATATTTTAATTGTTCAGACACCACGCTTATGTCTGTGGGATAGCTGGCTGGCTAGATGGATGAAAGGCTGCTGATTATTTTCAGAGGCTTTCTGGCACAGTTACTGTAGCCTCTGTAGCTGCTGCCCACTGCTTCCTTGGGGGTAGATTCATGAATATATGGACTCATGCTTGTGCCTGCACCCGTGCCCTGGACAGCTGCTTGGCCCCCCAAACACCTCTGTGCAATAGGATGGATGGAGCCCACTGTCTGTCTGGATTCCTCACTTCCTACCCTCTTCCCACACAGTAGGACAACATTAGTTCCAATGCATCTGGGGCCTAACAGAGCTCTTAAATTGGCTGGAGCTGTGGGGCAAATTCTCTGTTTTAAAATCGGTGTAATTCATAGACTTCAGTGAAGCTGTGCCAATCTGGATTGTCAGAGTACTCATATATCTAAATGCACTGCTCTTATTCAGTCCATGCAAGATTTATATTCCACATATGCCTTCACACATATTTACAGCACTGGACCTTGTTTGTTACACTGCTAATACAAATACAGACTCTCACTCCTGGTTTGGTGGGGGGATTTTGCTCCAATGCTGCATTTAGTCTTTTGCGGTTCCACTTTATCCAGCTTTTGAGCTGAACTGACCGCTACTGAACTAACATGTCAGATAATCTGCTCAAGGTCAAGTAATAGTGTTTATAATTGATTTGGAATGAGAAATCAAAGATCTTCTGGACTTCCAGTCTTAGACTGTAGCGCCCCAGCATCTCCTGTCAAAACAATGGGAATGAGAATATCAGTAAATAATTCTGGTCTCTAATGACTTCCAGGCTCTTTTAGGGAAGTACATTAAGTAAAAGTGGAGCCTAAAGAAAGTGATAAATGCTTATTTAGTATAAAGGCTTTGGCAATTTTTATTTTAAATTTAAAAACATGATTGGATTTTTCCAAAATGAGGATTCAAATGCAAAGAAGAAGAGGAGGCAAAGAAAGAGAAAAGGAAAATTCCTTACAATAAGAATATATTTGCATATATGTACTTGTACATGATTAAATCACAGAACTATCAATTACAAGGTGTTTTTTTTTCCTCATCCCTTTTGGTTCAAAAACTCATTAACAGAAATTAGTGCCTCCCACACTGGCAAAAAGAGAGAGCTTGAAAAAGGCTAAAGCATACATTTTGTTGAATCAAATTTTGTCTCATAAATTTTAGTGTTACTCAGCAGAAGGAGACAGTACAGTTTTAAAAGATAGATGTAGTATGTGGCACTATTGGCTAGATTCTGATATCCTTTACTCAGTTGAGTAGTTACTGAGTAGCAGCCTACTCCAGGAGTAGTCCTATTAAAATAAATAACACTGCTTTCAGAGTAAGGTTTTTTCTTGACCTAAAGACATCAGAATCTGGTCTTTAACTGTATTTTATTATTCATTGTGAAATCAGTTTATTTTGTCTTCCTTTTAAGTGCATATCTGTACTTGAGACTATGGGACATGATGCTATTGTACAGTATCTCTTATGGTGTACAATAAAGCTCCAATAATAACAGAGGAGAAGGAAAGATTCAATACACTGTAACACAGCAAAGCTGACTGATGCTTTTATTCCCACATTGCCTGTGGATCTCTCAGATCCTCAGTTCATGGGCTAAGCAACACTGATTGGTCTGGTCTGGTTCTTTACATTTTTATCTGGCTGGCCAGTTACAAATGATGTCATTCACTTAGGGCTTACTTCCCTGCAATTAGGGAAGTGTTAAAAGTAACTCTTAGAAAGTACCTTCAAGATAAGGTGGAATTGAAAATCTTGATGGGATATAAGTTCTTCCTGTCTGGACAGTAGGAAATAGTTATAGTACCACTAGAGTACAAATTTTGTGCATTATATAATTGATCACACCCTTTTAAAGTTAAATATATTGGCATAATGATAGTGATAATTTGTGTAATTATATAAATGTCTTTAACTATAACTACATTTAAACAGTAAGAGCTTCCTGATTCTGCAGAAAGATGGGCCAGATCTTCAGCCAGTGTAAATCAGCATAAGTCCATCAAAGTCAATGAAGCCAGACTGATTTACACCAGCTGAGGATCAGGATCTATATCTTTTGTGCCAATGTAAAGAAAAAAAATTAGTCAAAGATACTCATTGTAAATACTTTTCATTTCTAGGAGAGGCCAGTGCTTCTACAATGTGGGATAACAATGCCTGGGTTTTCTTCTATGACAACAGTACTGATGGAGAACCTCCATTTTTAATCCAGGATTTCATCCATGCTTTCCAGCCCCATGCCAAACTTATCGTCATGCTAAGGGATCCTGTTGAAAGGTTAGCAATAAAGCAATGCGTGGAATTCTTTCTCACTAGAAACAAGAGTTGTTGTTTTTTTTTTAAGCTGTAATAAGTGTACTTATACTGTTTATATGCCCGAGGTCTAGTTCTTTTCTGGTATAAGTGTTATCTTAAACCCGTGTTTTGTTTTAATTCTAGTTTTGTAAAATTTTGCTTATTCAAGTGTTTTGAAATTTTCAATTTTAATAACATTTGAAAAAAAATAACTGGCACTGGGTAGTGCTTCAATTCAGATTAGGAACAATGGGTAGTAGGGTTTACATCTCCAAAGGGGCAGAATATTTAAAAGGAAGATTGGTAATGGCCCCCAAATAAGCAAATTATACAAGGTTTCAGAGTAGCAGCCGTGTTAGTCTGTATCCGCAAAAAGAAAAGGAGGACTTGTGGCACCTTAGGGTATGTCTACACTACGAAATTAGATCGAATTTATAGAAGTCTGTTTTGTAGAAATCGGTTTTAATTTTGAGTGTGTGTCCCCACAGAAAATGCCAAGTGCATAACCCCCACAGTACCGAGCAAGCCCACTCGGAGTGTTGCACGTGGGTAGCTACCCACAGTTCCCCGTCTTCCTGCCCATTGGAATTCTGGGTTGAGATCCCAATGCCTGATGGGGCTAAAACATTGTCGCGGGTGGTTCTGGGTACATACTCACCTCCGTTCCCTCCCTCCCTCCGGAAAGCAGCAGCAGACAATCTTTCCCCTTTTTCGAGTTACCGTGCAGACCCATACCACCAAGCAGCCCCTCAGGTAACCGTCACCATGTCTCCTGGGTGCGGCAGACGGGTACGCTTGCTCCGCACCAGCAACCCATGCCTGTGGAGCAGGGACAATAGGACGTAGCCTCTCATCTGTCCGAGGTGCTCCTGGTCCCGGCCAGGACCCGGCAGACATGGGTGCAGGGACTACATTAGAAGTGACTTGACCAGGTCTTCTCTTTAGTCCTGCAGTCAGTCCTATTGAACCATCTTATGGTGAGCAGGCAGGCGATACGTTGCTAGCGTCCTATTGTACCATCTTCTGCCGGGCAGGAAGAGATGAGAATGGTTAGCAGTCCTATTGTCCATCTTCTGCCGAGCAGCCATGAGATGTGGATGGCTTGCAGTCCTTCTGCACCGTCTGCTGCCAGCCAAAGATGTAAAAGATAGATGGAGTGGATCAAAACAAGAAATAGACCAGCTTTGTTTTGTACTCATTTGCTTCCCCCCCACCCCCGTCTAGGGGACTCCTTCCACTACGTCACAATGCAGTCACTCACAGAGAAGGGGCAGCGAGGTAATCTAGCCATGTATCAATCAGAGGCCAAACTAACCTCCTTGTTCCAATAAGAACAATAACTTAGGTGCACCATTTCTTATTGGAACCGTCCGTGAAGTCCTGCCTGAAATACTCCTTGATGTAAAGCCACCCCCTTGTTGATTTTAATTCCCTGTAAGCCAACCCTGTAAGCCAGTCTCAGTCCCTGTCCCTCCGTCAGAGCAACGGCAGACAATAGTTCCGCGCCTTTTGTCTGTGCGGACGCCATACCAAGGCAAGCATGGAGGCCGCTCAGCTCACTTTGGCAATTAGGAGCACGTTAAACACCACACGCATTACCAGCAGATAGCAGCACCAGACCTGGCAGGCATCCGGGCGAGGAGGCGCTCAGGCTCACATGAGTGATCAGGACATGGACACAGATTTTTCTGAAAGCATGGGCGCTGCCAATGCAGCATCATGGTGCTAATGGGGCAGGTTCATGCTGTGGAATGCGATTCTGGGCTCAGGAAACAAGCACAGACTGGTGGGACCCATAGTGTTGCAGGTCTGGGACGATTCCCAGTGGCGCGAAACTTTCGCTGCGAAGGGCACTTTCATGGAACTTTGTGACTTGCTTTCCCCTGCCCTGAGCCACGAATACCAAGATGAGAGCGCCCTCACAGTTGAGAAGCGAGTGGCGATAGCCCTGTGGAAGCTTGCAAGCCAGACAGCTACCGGTCAGTTGGGAATCAATTTGGAGTGGGCAAATCTACTGTGGGGGCTGCTGTGATGCAAGAGCCCACCAATCAAAGATCTGCTGATATCAAGGGTAGTGACCCTGGGAAATGTGCAGGTCATAGTGGATGGCTTTGCTGCAATGGGATTCCCTAACTGTGGTGGGGCCAAGACGGAACCCATATCCCTATCTTGGCACCGGAGCACCAAGCCGGGAGTACGTAAACCGCAAGGGGTCTTTTCAATAGTGCTGCAAGTTCTGGTGGATCACAGGGCGTTTCACCAACATCAACGTGGGATGGCCGGGAAAGGTACATGACGCTCACATCTTCAGGAACTCTGGTCTGTTTCAAAAGCTACAAGACGGGTCTTTATTCCCAGACCAGAAAATAACTGTTGGGGATGTTGAAATGCCTATAGTTGTCCTTGGGGACCCAGCCTACTCCTTAATGCCATGGCTCATGAAGCCGTACACAGGCAGCCTGGACAGTAGTCAGGAGCTGTTCAACTACAGGCTGAGCAAGTGCAGAATGGTGGTAGAATGTGCATTTGGACGTTTAAAGGGCGCTGGCGCAGTTTACTGACTCGCTTAGACCTCAGCGAAACCAATATTCCCACTGTTATTACTGTTGTGTGCCTCCACAATATCTGTGAGAGTAAGGGGGAGACGTTTATAGCAGGGTGGGAGGTTGAGGCAAATAGCCTGGCTGCTGGTTACACACAGCCAGAACCAGGGAGGTTAGAAGAGCACAGGAGGGTGTGGTGCGCATCAGAGAAGCTTTGAAAAACAGTTTCATGACTGGCCAGGCTACAGTGTGAAAGTTCTGTTTGTTTCTCCTTGATGAAACCCCCCGCCCCTTGGTTCACTCTACTTCCCTGTAAGCTAACCACTCTCCCCTCCTCCCTTCGATCACCGCTTGCAGAGGCAATAAAGTCATTGTTGCTTCACATTCATGCATTCTTTATTCATTCATCACACAAATAGGGGGATGACTACCAAGGTAGCAGGAGGGGTGGTGGAGGAGGGAAGGAAAATGCCACACAGCACTTTAAAAGTTTACAACTTTAAAATTTATTGAATGCCAGCCTTCTGTTTTTTGGACAATCCTCTGTGGTGGAGTGGCTGGTTGGCCGGAGGCCCCCCCACCACATTCTTGGGCGTCTGGGTGTGGAGGCTATGGAACTTGGGGAGGAGGGCAGTTGGTTACACAGGGGCTGTAGTGGCAGTCTGTGCTCCAGCTGCCTTTGCTGCAGCTCAACCATACACTGGACCATACTGGTTTGATCCTCCAGCAGCCTCAGCATTGAATCCTGCCTCCTCTCATCATGCTGCCGCCACATTTGAGCTTCAGCCCTCTTCAGCCCACCACCTCTCCTCCCGGTCATTTTGTGCTTTCCTCCACTCTGACATTATTTGCCTCCATGCATTCGTCTGTGCTCTGTCAGTGTGGGAGGACAGCATGAGCTCAGAGAACATTTCATCACGAGTGCCTTTTTTCTTTCTAATCTTCACTAGCCTGTGGGAAGGAGAAGATCTGTGATCATTGAAAAATGAGCTGGTGGAGAAAAAAAAGGGACAGCGGTATTTAAAAAGACACATTTTATAAAACAGTGGCTACACTCTTTCAGGGTAAACCTTGCTGTTAACATTACATACATAGCACATTTGCTTTCGTTACAAGGTTGCATTTTGCCTCCCCCACCACTGCTACCCCTCAACCCTCCCCCTCCCCATGGCTAACAGCGGGGAACATTTCTGTTCAGCCACAGGCAAACAGCCCAGCAGGAACGAGCACCTCTGAATGTCCCCTGAAGAAAAGCACCCTATTTCAACCAGGTGACCATGAATGATATCTCACTCTCCTGAGGATAACACAGAGATAAAGAATGGATGTTGTTTGAACGCCAGCAAACATACACTGCAATGCTTTGTTGTACAATGATTTCCGAGTACGTGTTACTGGCCTGGAGTGGTAAAGTGTCCTACCATGGAGGATGCAATAAGGCTGCCATCCCCAGAAACCTTTTGCAAAGGCTTTGGGAGTACATCCAGGAGAGCCGCGAATGTCAGGGCAAATTAATCCTTTCACATGCTTGCTTTTAAACCATGTATAGTATTTTAAAAGGTACGCTCACCGGAGGTCCCTTCTCCGCCAGCCGGGTCCAGGAGGCAGCCTTGGGTGGGTTTGGGGGGTACTGGCTCCAGGTCCAGGGTGAGAAACAGTTCCTGGCTGTCGGGAAAACCGGTTTCTCCGCTTGCTTGCTTTGAGCTAGCTACAACCTCCTCCTCATCATCATCTTCTTCGTCCCCAAAACCTGCTTCCGTGTTGCCTCCATCTCCATTGAAGGAGTCAAACAACATGGCTGGGGTAGTGGTGGCTGACCCCTAAAATGGCATGCAGCTCATCATAGAAGCGGCATGTTTGGGGCTCTGACCCGGAGCGGCCGTTCGCCACTCTGGTTTTCTGGTAGGCTTGCCTCAGCTCCTTAAGTTTCACGCAGCACTGCTTCGGGTCCCTGTTATGGCCTCTGTCCTTCATGCCCTGGGAGATTTTGACAAAGGTTTTGGCATTTCGAAAACTGGAACAGTGTTCTGATAGCACGGATTCCTGTCCCCGTACAGCGATCAGATCCCATACCTCCCGTTCAGTCCATGCTGGAGCTCTTTTACGATTCTGGGACTCCATCATGGTCACCTCTGCTGATGAGCTCTGCATGGTGACTTGCAGCTTGCCATTGCTGGCCAAACAGAAAATGAGATTCAAAAGTTCGCGGTTCTTTTCCTGTCTACTTGGCCAGTGCATCTGAGTTGAGAGTGCTGTCCAGAGCGGTCACAATGGAGCACTCTGGGATAGCTCCTGGAGGCCAATACCGTTGAATTGTGTCCACGCTACCCCAAATTTGACCCGGGCAAGGCCAATTTAAGCGCTAATCCACTTGTCAGGGGTGGAGTAAGGAAATCGATTTTAAGAGCCCTTTAAGTCGAAATAAAGGGCTTCATCGTG